GCGTTTGAACATGGACAAGGTAGTTATGTCGGCAAACTGAAAAAGAAGCACTAGCACCCATGCTGCAGCGATGTTCAAAGGCAATTTTCTACCTCATTATGCCTTGCCAACATTTTGAGCCTTTTGAGTGTCACAGTACGTACCTAATCCATTGCATCCATCATATTAGCAATATCATTTTGGCAGTAGGAGCAGGTCCGTACAGCTCATTAATGCACATGTATGGTGTAAGCTCGCATGATATGACTCTGCAAAATGTCTTTCCCTTAAGAATTCTGGAAATGTAGTGCTGCATTATCATAGCTGCACATACTACTGTTTTAAGAAATTTTTATGCAGCCTAGTATTGCTTGTAAGTCATCAATGTCCTAGTCACTGCAACTTGTGCGAGATGCTCCGTGCTGGAAAAGGTGGAAAAGTATTGCTGTTGGTTTCTTGGATGGCACTTCGCAATATTTTTATCATGAGCCTTGAGTGCACAAGCAGCTTCATCACTCCCTTGCATTTCGCCCACCTAACCATGACTACATGCACTTTTCATGCCTCCAGCCTTGTGCAAGGTCAGCAGGTTTGCAGTTCCATGGCAGTGTTTTCTTGTCATACATGTGCTATTGCGTATGTTGCCAGCATTTCTTAGTAAAGCAGCCTGATGGCTGCAGCATGTTGCATGGCTGTGGAAGCAGAAGACGTGTTTGCATATTTGTCACCTATATTTTGTGGATTCCCAAACAGGCTGAGCAAGTGATGCCACTTAGGTTGCGGCTTTGCTGAGCGTGATTTGTGTATTGTATCGTGGTTTTTGGTCAGTCATATGTCAGATGTGGAGTTAATACAATAATGCATGCCTGACCCATCTTTTCATCATGTAATTTATTATGAAAGCAGCAAGGATCGCAGTACAAAAGCTGTATTATTGTTCATTATGCCATGCCACAGTGCGGCACTGATGAGGTAGTGCGACGATGACACCGTTAACCCGTGCAGTACACAATATACCACTGGTTGACTACTCCTTGTCAAGCCTATGAGATAACATTTTATAATTTATAAATGACTGGTAGCAACTTGGTTTAACAAACGTCGAAGGGACTATCACCAGCGAGAATGCTGTTGGCACCACAATGGTTATAATCAGGGGTAACTATTTAATTGAATGCAATACAGCCTGGGCAGGAAACAGATTTTGGTAGCTCAACCTTGCCATCTTTACCAGAGAAACAGCAATGCGTTGGCAATAAATTCATAGCAATGCTACAGATTTGTTAATCTGAATGAAATGAAAAGCAAAAGGCCTGTAAATGCATGCAACTGCATTTACGATCACAATAATAAACACTGCAGGCAGGGATACGTCGACGATACAGTAGACATTCTCAACAGTTCTTGGCAGGTTTCGGTAAGGGATTCACGACGTTATGTGACGGTTTCCACAGCATGTTGTGTTTTGATGTTAATAATCTGTCCTAAAAGCTGGCGAGCGCTACGTTACTTATGCCAAGCAGCCCACCAAAACTTCTCTTATGGCCAGGACCAAGACAAAAATCCACAAACAAGCCATTCACTAATCCACCACCTAACGCATCACCCGCGACAAGAATGGCCAGCTGGCGTCAGCTTTCGTGCGTTGCGAGGTGTTCTTTAGGTCTGGCTGCCAGATGCTGTCAGACATTTGTTGTCGACACAAAACGATTCCACGACGCCATCAAAACTGACGCAATGGGGCGCATTTTTACAAACTTTGACATTTTGCTACTTAGGGTCGTTTTTAAACCTCGAAAGCATACCACTGGTTACAAGTGTAGGCTTTTCCCATCACGTCTGATGCTTATCCTAATATATTCAAATGTGAAATATTCCCATTAAGGCATCTGGCACTCTACTTGCAGTACCGCTGCCGGTCCGAACCGTTGACATGTGAACACCTGAGTGGATTTGGAATGAATGCTCGTACTTAATAACGAAGGTAACCAGCGGTGAGCGTTTCTAGAAGTCGGTTGGTAGTGAAGGTGATAACGAGCAGGCTGGTGTCGCGACGCTGATCGTTTCTGAAAGTCGTCAGCCGTCGGACATGGCAAACTTGCTCGTCTCTGAGCCCAGCCAGGACCTCGTCCTCCATCTTAGACGGAACTCAGGCGCAATGATGGTGCCTTTATTGATGTCCCGGGCATGTTGCAGGGAGACTTTCACTTTGCTTGCCCCAAAATTCAGTTTGTTTAAGCGGAGCCCTTGACTGTGCGCGGTTGCTTTTTTGTTTTTTTGTTGATCAGTGATCCGTTTGCCGGTGCTCCAATTTTGAGGCTCGTATGAACCGCAGATTTCCTCGATTTGTTTTGATGGCCAAAAAACGTTGATTTTCCGAAATAATCACGTTCTCATCACGAGGCTGGACGCCAACGTAAGTGCCGAGAGGTTCCAGAATTGGTTCAGAGGGCAGGCGAACACTGGTCGTTGACAAGCGAGATCAGCATCAGAGCGAGCAGGCCCGGGGTGCTCGAAGACGAGCGGAGGGTCGGAACCGGGGCGTTGTACGGAGACGGGGTGCTATCCAAACCACTTGTTTAGGTCTCGTCAGACACGTGTAATGGCACCAAACGGGTCGAGCGTGAGCTCTGTTGATTCGCTATGGGTCGGTGTGACATAAACTTCACAGCAGCAAATACCTGCCCGGGGATTGTAGTCAATGTGCCATTAGCGGTCATACAATAGCTGTGGTTCTTAGTAAGCATATCACTCATATTATTTACCAACACAAAACAGTACAATGAACCTATGGAAACATTCAGTTCTCACACGATACACAATGTCACGCACACAACAATAACACTCGTTCGCGCCACCTATTGGTGGCCCACGTTTGATATGCTGACATCGTGCCGCTACCTAGGTACTTCCTGGCAGTGCACCATGATGCGATACATGATGATTAGCCCCTCGCGGCTAATCATGTGCATAATCTTCTGTTGTCTGCACGTGTCGGGTTACGTCATTCTGCGGCCATTTGTCTTGTGGCTCGGACCACCCTCCATGGACGATCAATGAGAGCTTGTTGCGGTGACCGTATCGAACCGTCTTACCAAGATATTCTGTGTGATTTACACCAGCCGTAACCCCCCCCAAACAAGCTTTAGTTTCGTATGGGCCTTGGAATAGGGAGTCATTCTTCTCTGAAGCAATACTATGCCCGGAATTTGGGGATGAATAACGTTTTAGGGAGGTAAGATTAACACTGAGGTTAAGCTCAACGCCCCCCCCCCCCCCCCCCCCAAAGGATTTTAGAAAATAACAGTTACAGTTACAGGTTAGTAACATTTATAAAGTGACCCTTGGCAGTTACGGTCTGAATTCAGGTTACCCGACCCCTTCCTTTCCCAGGCCAGGCCAATTTTTCAGGTTGAGGAGCATTCAGCTGGTGGAAACAACATCAGAACGCCGAAGGCCGAACCACGTTCAAATCTGGCATCGCCGCGCAGCGCACCGACATCTTTGACTGTACAGCGTAAGGTCATAACAAGCAACGGATATTGCGGATACGGTGGCAGTACGCGGACGACACGCAGGGTTTTGTGTGAGTGGGAGGCCGCCCGGTGATATTGTAGGCTGATCACATCCATGGAGCAACATCCTTCACACCTGTCCAAATGGTTTGCCAAAAACGGAATGAAAATTAACGACCAGAGAAAACAAGCTCATGTCCTCGGCCACACGTCAAAATCTTCGGAACCTGCCACCGACTAGCATCGAATTTATGGGCGCCACTGTGGTCAGCTCTTCTTCCGTTCGAACTTGGGCGTTGTATTTGACCAGTGAATGACGTCTACTGCGTACACTGATGACGTCGTTGCGACGATGCACTGGCGTTCTTATCGGCCTCAGCCACAGCCGGCACAGTCTGCCTCAGGCCACACTCATTACTCTAGTCCAGGGTCTAGTCATCTCAGTAATCCGTTACTGCAACTGTGTGTACGGAACATGTAACACTACTCAAACATCACGACTGCAGAAGCTGCTGAACTTCGCGGCACAATTCATCTCTGGGCGTCGGAAATATGATCATGCGAGCGATGTTTTACTAGATCTCGAGTGGGTGTCTGCTGACAACATGCTCTTATATCATACACTGACACTTCTGAAACGTATGCTGGCAAGATCCCAGCCGGAGTCGCTATGTGATCACCTTATCCATAGACGTCATGTTCACCATCGCACAACGAGGCAGGATATGTTACATGTGCCGGTGATCAGATCTGAATTGGGAAGGCGGCGTTTTGCTTACCGCACCGTGACCGCCTACGACGCACTACAGCAGAATATCCGCGAGCTGAGCCTTCCACAATTCAATTGCGAGTTGTAGTTATATCCTGCAGCGGCAGATCAATAACGGATAGCGACACCTACTTCAAATGACTTAAGCGAATGTGAGTGCGTTCTGCGTATGTGTGCCTACGTGTGTACGTGTTTGCGCGAGCCTCCCTGATCTACGGTGTTTTATTTCCATGACACGGGCTCTGTAAAAGCCACATTCTAATTGGAGTGAGCTTGACGTGTTATAAATAAATAAATAGATATGAAATGAAACATTGCGCAAAGTGATGGAAAACAAGGATAATGGAAAATCGGTCACACTTTCAGGAGCGTGACGTGATCTGACGTAACGTCCTCTCACTGCGATGTACGGACATCGTTGTTCGGCCAAATAGACAGCGCGGCAACAGCCTGCTATCCAGACGGAAGGAACAAACCCACATCACCAATGTTGTCGGCGAAAAGGTGGATAGGGCTCTCCGGGCACCGCGAGCGAGCAACTGCATCAGTTACGTCACTTGCGGTTGGACTTGGTGTCGTCACCGCCCCTTGTTCCACGAGAGCACGGCTGCACGGGTTGTGTGACAGCTCAGGGGGTCCTTGCCGACGCAGGCTCCCATGCCAGGGTACCCCTAGTGCTGGGGCTATGAACGATCACCGAGACCAATGTTTGTTTGCTGATATACAACATACTGATATGATATACTGCATGTTTATTGATATACGTGCATGCTGGGATTAATGGTCACCTTTGCAAAACACAAAGTGCAACACATGTGAGCACTTTATGTACTATATGTACGCTAATCGGCTGTGTCATCGTTCAGGTAAGTAGTTCGGCCACCGCGCCAACCGATGACACCTTCACAGCGGTTTGCATGCAGAGTAAACCAATATATCTGGCGAAGAACAAGCCAGGCGACTTCTTTCCTATCCGTTACTCCAGTCGCCTCGCACATTTTAAATTGGTGCATGACAAGAACAAACTGGCCGAGTCGGCGCATACGACGGAGAACAAGCGGAGACGACTGTGTAACAGCACACATGCACCACTGTGCAACACACATGTGGTGCAGCGGGCCGTTCAGCGCGTCCGTTGCTTCAGGAGCAAACTCGGAACTCCCACGCTTGTTCCAGTCTACAGCGTACCACCTATACATACACGCATTCTAATAAAATGTCGACTGATGACACAAAAAGACCGTAGTTCAGTCTCATCAACTACGATCATTGTCCATAAGCTCACAAATTTGTGCAAGTAGTCACATCCAGTTTGCGACACGATTTTAGGCTACATGAGATAAAGAAAAAATCTCGTTAGGTCTTAGAGCATGCGCCCATATCGCGCCGAACTGGCCTCCACCTTTCGCAGTAGTCGCATGTGTGGGACATTTATTTTGGACGGCCTACACCCGTTATTTTCACCATTAACCCGGAGAGACGCATGTCCTGCTACAACCCTCATGCACAGTCAACATCCGTATAAGCCGAATCCCGCGGGATTAATGACACAGCCTGTTCACAGACAAAATACGCGATCAGCCCGGTGATAAAACACGAGATTTAAACATCGGTAAACACACTGCATGGGAGATCGAGTACAAGGGTATGGTACATATGGCCTATGCACGTTGCTTCAACTCTTGACCAGAGCCTACGGCTAAAATAGATCATTATACGAGGTCCTTCAATAGATTGATGCTTCCGTCGGGTACACGTGCTGCGAGTTCAGTACACTGTGGCAATCAGAAAACAGGGAGGCCAAGACGTGCAGGCTGGCCTTCCCTGATCGTCCCCGTAGCCGGCCTCTCCACGGAGCAGAGGAGCAGCGCCACTACAGATACCCTCGCTCTGTTTTGCGCAGCTGGCTGAATGGCTTGTGGGCTTCCTTCCGGATCCACAGGCTGTCGATCACAGCGCCATCCTGCGGGCGCGCCGGGAACACTGCTTTAAAAAGGGTCACCAGGGCCCGGGCGACCTTCCTCTGCATATTTGGTCGGCGCTGGAACCCACGGTATGTGCAACAGCGGAAGTGTTTGCGCGCTTAGCTTCATCAGACCAATCAAGACATCCGCAGCAGATGAGATGCATGCTAGGTGGAACTAAATGTGCACTGGGTCAAACAAACAAGCGTTGAGAGCCTATCAACCGACGCATTCGCCTAAACTGGGGAATTTACGACTACGACTAGCCCTTATTCAACACTTTTTCACTGACATACACTTTTTACCACCCTTAGACCACCTTTAAAGCACTTTCTTGAAAACCACTAAAGCATCCAACCAACCCACCAACCCACTCGCCAGATAAACTGAAAAGCCCCTCAACATAGCAGCCAAAATGCAAGAAACAGGAGGTAATTTGACCATCACGTACATTAAATTATCACTGGCCCACCAAACAGCATATATGTACCAGCTGCAGCGGAGACTCGGTTAGAAAAGAGCGTGTGAGCCACAACCAATCAGCTATCAAGACTAGCACGGCCCTACGACATTCATCTGCACTTTTATGGCCCGATCAGAGCCGCGACCAGCTCAGTTCGGGCCGTCTGGCCTCCTCAGGCTCACCTTGTCGTCGGACACCTGCTCGATGAAGAGGTGGGAGCCGTTGGCCACAGTCAGGCGGGTGTAGCCGTAGTCGGAACTGCGCACGGCGCTCCAGTAAGGCAGCGTCTTGTTGAAGAAGTCGTGCCGCTCCTTGCAGCCCTGCACCGAAGACCGGACACAGTGGGGGTCACTATCGGCCGCTCCGGCCATCAGCCGAGGACAGGGCGGGCGCGACGGGCGCGGACGGGGCAGATGCAAGGATTGGGGCTTAATGTGACCGATTTGTCGTCCCACAGGTGTCGTGAGCACATCCGACGCCTCAGACAGCACATTTGATGCCTAAGCCAGCACATCCGATGCCTCAGCCAGCACATTTGATGCCCTAGCCAGCACACCCGATGTCTGAGCCAGCACACCCTGAC